AAGTACTTTTACCTTTTTCTTTGTTAGTTTAGTTTTTGTTTTAGTTAGTATACGTACGCACGCTCGTATACTACGTAGGTAGGTAGTACCTACTACTATATATATATATATATATATATATATATATATTATTTTAATGTATGGATATATTTATGTATTATGTAGTCATCATCATCTCATCCCAACTATGTTATATATTACATAATATATATTTTATTTTTGTAATTTGATATGAAAAAGTATACAAAGAGACTATCTACTTTTAATACAAGGAGGTCACATATCACTCTTGTCTGGTAGATTTCAAATCAGGTGGTAGTGCTCGTGCCATTCATTAGACTCAAAGTTAAAAAGGATAAAAAATTTATCAAAGTTCTTGATGCATCCAAGCCATCCATTTTGACATCCAATGGTTTGGAGCAATTGTGACCTCCTTGTAACAATGATCAATGGTCTTATACAATCCCATTTGATAAGGACCTGACTTGATGGTCAAGTATGAGTCGATCCGACCTGCTGACAGCTTAAAGATAAGTTGTGAACACAAGGAAAGTGGTCATATTATAGTATAGTTCCCCTAGGAAAAATGAGAAATCTTTTCATATATTGAGCATATGTGTCCCCTATTCACAATTTGGCTTTGGAGCGTCAGATCTTAATCCGAGGACTCAGAGTATTTTTTTTTTTTAATCTTTTGTTCTATAAATCATTATGCAACAAAATTTGGGGTAAGCACAAAAAATGATAGGGGCACACATGATAAAAATAAAAATAATAAAGTATCTCCTTTGATAATAAAATTACTAGAATGCCCATGACCTATTTAGGGGCTTTTTGGTTTTTTATTTTTAAGAGAAATATTTTTTAATTTTTTTTTGCTAGGCACGCTGAAATAAGAAGATGGGACACCCGAAATTTAACAAAAAAAAGCTTGGAAGAAGAAAAATGAAAAATCAACCATTATTTGGCATCACATTACGACATGAACAATCCTAACCATCTATTCAGATCAAATGGCTGAAAAGCGGAATCATATATAATTTATACGTGAGTAAGGTGACATAGAAAGCTTTCCCTAGAAAAACTACCCCAAATACTATTTTTGATAATCCCTCTACTAGTTTATGAAACAACCTTGCCTTATTTTAGGAAAGGAAAACCGCAATGTGTTGTGGAGATAATCAAATCGTGTTGTGGAAAGAACGAACCAATCCCATCTTAACCACTTCACCCATTAATATAACCCAGTTTCCCCTATAAAAGCACATCCGTAATCCCCCCCTCAACACAACAAGCATAAAACTGTGGGCCTTAGACAACCCTAGTTGCTCGTTAGAATGGCATCAAACATGAAGACTCTGTTTATTGCCATTTCCTATCTGCTCTTTTCAAATGCTATATTACTTGGTGTTAGTGGTGATGCACCGTGTGGCAACACATCCATATTCAGCGTCGCCTGGGGCTTGACGTCATGCGTGGATGCGGCAAAGAACCCATCGGTTAAGCCGCCGCGGTCCTGTTGTACCAAAACTGCAGACATTTTTTCTAGGACCTCTGCTAGTTGTATTTGTTCTGTTTTCTTGTCACCCCTTGCCAAGCAAGTCGGGATAAAACCGGCCGTGGCCATAACCATCCCTAAGCGTTGTGGCCTCAAGAAGCGACCGGTTGGATACAAATGTGGACGTAAGAACAGCACTCTATGATACTTTTCTTTTTTTCCTTTTTTTTCATACCTCTCTTTTCCTCTTATACAAGCTAATTTCAACCATTATATATATATATATATATCCGCCAAATATGTGTGTGTAATTTTAACATTTACAAGGGGTCTTAATTCTATATTTTTCTTTACATTGTGCAGGATACGTGCTGCCCTAAGATGCCCTAGCCGAGAAAGGGAATTGCTAGTAGCAGTCAACAATGTTCATGCGAGCCTATGTAATAATAAACAAAGACTGTATACAATGTAATAATTTGGATTAATCGATATCGGGTTTTTTTTTTTAATATTGATTATCAATTGACACGCAGGCCTTGCCCCTACCAATATGGTCAAATATGAAATATTTTGAGGTTTATGATGGCTCTTATAAATGGCATGATGATGTGTTACTTTTTTTTCATATTAAAATAAGCGGGGTTTATGAAGAAAACATAACATTAAGACTTTGAGAACAAAAATGTACATTCTTCCTTAGTTGTCAGATGTAAAATGGTTGTGTTATTACCTGTGCTTAAAGTTCGAAAAGCATAGTTCCACACTCTATTACAAAATGATGGCTACACACTAGCAACCTAAAGGCTAAGGTTCAGTCACGTAAATTTCACATCCGTAGGCTGCGGTTCATCGAGATAAATGGCCTTTACAATATGCATTCCTATTATCAAAACCCTTATATTTCTTTACTCTGGTCCCTATTGAAATGTAGTCGCTAAAATAATATGCTATTTTGAGGAAATTTTTCAAAATACACCTAACTTATGATTATTTAATATATAATGATTTTTCAACTATTCAAACTGATCATGTGCATTTTGTTGGGATCGATGAAATCAAATCAAGGGAAGGGGTTGAGGTCATGATGTTAGCACCACTTGTGTCTCAACTTCTGGTCTAGGTTTCCATTCTCATTGATGTATTAAAATACCGCTAATTATTTCTAAAAAGGGGTAGGAGCATGTAATCCCCACTTATCTACCTCGAAAATAATAATAATAACAATAATAATATTAATAACAATAATAATAATAATAATAATAATAATAATAATAATAATAATAATAATAATAATAATAATAATAATAATAATAATAATAATAATAATAATAGTAATAATAATAATAATAATAATAATAATAATAATAATAATGATAATAATAATAATAATAATGATAATAATAATAATAATAATAATAATAATAATAATAATAATAATGAAATCAAATCAACAACACATGAAAAACAAAGAAATTCCTATGGCCCATGTATTGAGTTTTTTTTTTTTAATGTGATCTACCCCGAATAATAATAATAATAATTATGAAATCAAATCAACAACACATGAAAAACCAAGAAATGACTATGGCCCATGTACTGAGTTTGTTTTTTTTTGTTTTTCTTTTTTTTAATGTATTTGGGATCTACTTAACAATCACTAGATAACAATTTTTAACAAGCACAAAAAACAATACGTAGAGTTATTCAAAACCTAGATCTTGCACTGTCTAAGAACAAATAACGTAGGAAAATTCCCCATCAAAACCTAGATCTTGCACTACAAAAGTTGCACTGTTTAAGAACAAATAATGTAAGAAAATACCCCAGGCTTATTTGGTTAGCACTTGATGATTTGCAACGCTGCGTCCTAGGCTCAATTTTTATCAAGGGTAGGGTCCCTCTCTCCACTGGCTCACTAAAAACAAAAAAAAGGGGAATTAGATAAAAGACCTTTAGTGTCTTGGAGACCGATGTGATAACCAACAGAACCACGACACCAGGCAATTTTTGGCATTTTTCTCACTTTTCCTTTGTTAGTATTTCTACACTAGTTCAAGTTCAACCCATTATGCACCTAACACTCTTAACCTTCTGCACCCACTTGATTTCTCCCTCTTACGTACCCTCTCTCGCGTCTTTAACTTACTCCCTTTTCTCTGTGTTGAATGTTGAATCGAAACAGAGGAGTCATTAAGGGAGAGGAGAAACCTATTGACTCGAAGGGAAGGAAGAATGTTGTCATGATGCCTGTCGTACTAAAAAAAGGGAATAAAAGGGAGAACATTGATCAAATGTAGATGACTGGATTACAACGAGGAGGTGTTTTGGGGAGTTCAAAAAATGAATTTCACCAAAATTATAATATCTAGGGAAAATTACGTAAATATCTATTTTAGTTTCCGTTATTATTAAAATATCGAATATTTTTTGTTATTACTTATATATCAGTTTTTTTGGACTTCATTAATTTTTTTTTAAAAAAGACAAAACTACCCATTTTTGGTTTTTCAAAAATCGAAATCAAACCAATTTTGATTTTTGAAAAACCTAAATTTTTTTCTCTTGTGGATTCTCGGCATATTTTTTTTCTACCTCTCTCTTCATTACACAGGTTAAAACGTTTTTGTTCAGAACTCTCTCTCTCCCCTTCACCCAGCGTCTTTTTTTTGGTAAGTTTCACCCAGCGTCTTGAGAGGAATTCGGCCTGGTTTGGATATTCCCATTGCTTGAAGAGCTTGAATTGACGAGAGATCTCGTCTTAAAGGTAGGGCATCATGGGCTGGTTCATCAACACATAGAAGCTTTCCATTTTCCGCAATTTTTTGCAAGTTTTCTAGGTCTTGAAAGTCTTCACACCCAGAGCCAGCTAAAAAGTTTTTTAGGTTTCTTATTAAAGAGAGAGTTTTTAATATAGAATTAGAAAGCGTGCATGTTAGAAAGAGAGAGTATTTGGTCTAAGCTAGGGTTAAGTTTCTATATGCGAGTTTTCTAGGTTTTTCTAGATAGACAAAAAGACGGTGGGAAGAGAGTATTGGGGAAAGCTCATGTTTAAAATCTTTTTTCTTAGAGAGAGAAAAAAAGCGTGGGAAGAGAGTATTGGGGAAAGCTCATGTCTAAAATCTTTATGTTTTAGAGAGAGGGGGAGAGAGTGTTTAGGTTTTCTTTTAGAGAGAGAGAAAGGAGTTTTTAGTTTTCTTTTTAGAGAGAGATTTTGTGGCAGTTATTTCTGCAAATGTACAGATAGAAGAGATAAAGAAGAGTTTAAAGGGAAAAGACAGGGTAATGCACGGGTGAAAGGAAGCGTATAGAGAGAGAGTGTTTAAAAACTAATAATAATAAATTCGGTTGTTCAAAAACCCGAATTTAAAAAAAAATCAGTTTTTGAACTTGATTAGTCGATAGAGAGAGAGGTAGAGAGAGAATACGCAGAGGAACAAAATAGGGAAAAAATTTTGGTAATTGAAGAACCGAAAATTTAAAATTTTCAGTTTTTCAAAAATCAAAATTAGCTTGATTTTTGTTTTTGAAAAGTTGAAAATGGGTGGTTTCATCTTTTTTTAAAAAATTGTTATGAAGTCTAAAAACGAACATATCAATAATAACCGAGAGTATTCAGTATTTTGGTAATAACACAAACTAAAATGGATATTTACGTAATTTTTCAAATATCTAAGTATTTAAATATATTTTAATGTATTTCCATAAATTGTGAAATGTGGGACCTAGACCCAAATACTATTGGGTCCAAGATTTGGACCCAGACCCAAGCCGCCAGGTCCAAGTTTTGGACCTATACTGGGACCTTGGTTAGGTCTAGCCATAAGATCCTGGGCCGGGTCTAGTTCCCTTGCCACCCCTTGTTGAGGCTGCAAGTTTGAAGTAACATAGGGACCTAGGTTGGTAAATTGAGAACCTCCAGCTTAGGGGTGGGTAAAACTAAATTTTGATGGGTGTTTCAATTGGATCCATGACCTTGCATCTCCACCCGTTGTGGGCAGAGATGTGTTTTAAGATAAACCAAGTAAGATGAATTTGTAAATATAAAGGACTCAAAGGATAAAGAAGGTGTTGGAAAATTTGTTGGGTTAAAAAGGGGCAAAAGGTAGTACGATTTCAGAATTGAAGCTTTGATTCCTTCTTATTTTCGGGCATACAGAAATGGGAACTCAATATGATATTTACCCCCTTCGATATTGTGTTTGATATACACAAGAAGGATAATTGATCCTCAAAATACAAGAAAACAAAGAGATATGTTTGATGTTCCTAAGCTCTATACACCCCAGCTTGAGACCCACACATTAGATACCAGAGTCTTGATGTTATAGAGAGAGAAAGAGATAAAATTGAGTAGAGAGAGGTTAGCCCAGTGGTTTTTCTCCCTAGAATTGCATAAAAATGTGTGTTGTTTAGAGGCTAAAAAAGTGTTCAAGTTTATAATGTTGTATAGGAAGGAGGGACCGTAACATGAAGCTACAAGGAGGCAGCACACATACTGAAGAAGCGCTATCTTAATATGATATTTGCCCCCCTTCGATATTGTATTTAATGTGCATAAGAAAAGCAATTTGTCATCAGAATACAGGAAAATAGATAGGTCTCTTTGATGTTCTTAAGCTCTATGCACCCAGCTTGAAACCCACACACTAAACACTAGAGTTTTGATGTTATAGAGAGAGAGAGAGACAAAATTGAATAGAGAGAGAGGCTAGCCCACTAGTTTAGCTCCCTGAAAATGTAGAGAAACATGTGTTATTGAAAGGCCCAAAAAGTGTCCAAGTGCATAATTTTGTATGGGAAGGAGGGACCATATTATGGAGCTACCAAGAGGCTGCACATATATTGTAGTGGTGTTTACAAGCACCACCAATAGCTACAAGTTAGATGTATCTCCTTAAAAGTTGTTATTACAAGTTTCTATTTCATCAATGGCTAAATGACTGTTGGATATGCCTCCATTTCATCAACGGCTAGATGACCATTGAGTGTCTCACACAAGTTAGCTTACAAAAAGCTATCGAGCCTCGAGCTTGACCTGTACTTGGGTGAAGGGCGACTCTCACGCACGCCGATGCAAGTATATAAAATGCAAAGTGAGTCATTAAGTGCCCATGCCGTCACACACCCACATGTACATGCGCATGCGTGCATGCTTCGCGTGCTTCACATATATGCCATCTCTCTCACCTTGCACTAAGAGGAATAGGCATGTGAATGCATACTCTTAAATGCAGCTCATTTAACCCCCTCCTCGTCAATGTGGGACTCAAACCCACAACTTTATCTCTCTAGAAAATAATTTAGGAAAAAAACCACAAAACAATATTGATGTTTTGAAATACATGCAAGTATTTTTAAACTAAAAATACTAACATTTTTCACCACTAATTCAAAGTAATAAGAAGAAAAAAAAATGTAGGAAACATATTATTTGCATAGCATAAAAGTATCTTTCGATTTGAACTTTCACTTAAAGTATACACTACAAATT